AAGAGTAAATGTCAAGACAGCTCCATATTTTTTTTTAAAAGTATTTTATTTTATCTTAGCACTTATTGGAGACTTTTGCTAATTTTATGTATTCTTTTTCTTTTTTCCTTTAATGTGAAAAGAGTAGAGGAGAGGAGTTACTTACTGGATGAGGAAAAGCAAAAGTACCATTTAGTTCTTTCATTGCTTAATTAAGAGATTATTGATATCATAGAATATACCTTAGACCCATACTGTTCCAACACTTACCACACTCCCCTGCATATAGAACATAATTTAAAATACTTCTTGAAGAAATTCGTCAAGTATTTTAATAGTACTACCATGAACCTCAAGGGTGTGTATGCTATATAATTGATGAGAAACAAGTCTTCCCTATGTGTTGATGATTAATTTCATCTGTCAATCTGAGTGGGCAAAAGGATGCCCAGATAGGGTATAAAACATTATTTCTGGGTGTGTCTTTGAGGGTGTTTCAGGAGGAGATTAGCATTTGAATGAGTAAATTGACTAAAAGATTACCCTCACCAACGTGTGTGAGCATCATGCAACCTGCTGAAGGCAGACTAAGTAGAACAACAAGGCACAGAAAGGGCAAATTTGCTTCTGTTTCAAGCTGGGACATCTTTCTTTGCCTGCCTTTGGTCATCGCTGCTTTTTTTTCTCTGGTCTTTGGACTTGGACTAAATTATACCACCAGCTTTCCTGGTTCTCCTAAGAGCTTGTAGGTGTGCACTGAAATAGAGTCTTATCACTCCTGGCTACAGGGTTGAAACTGCTGAAAATCTAAGACAGAACCTCGCCCAGTTATTGGCTGAATTACAAAGCAAGTTGGACTCCCAGCCTTTCAGAGTGACCGCTGTTGGGAAAGAATAGGATCCTGTAAGTTGTGTGGGGACATATGGGAAGATACTGATTTTGCCAGGAATATTGAACTCTTAAATTCTGATTGGTCTCTTTTGTTAATGGAAATAGCCTCCCTAAACACATTGTTATTAACCTTTCCACCTCCCTCTGAATTAATCCTGCATTGCCCATAGAAGTTCTGAAGAGAACACAGAGCAGAGAATTCCTATAAGAATAGTAAAATAAAAATCTCAATCAGAATCTTCACACTCAATAGAGGCTACACAAGAGGGAGGCCTTTAAAAATGATTTGTGAGGTTGGGATTTTAACAAAAGTGTGATGATGGACATGAAAAAATCCATTTGTGCTATAATGTAATTGCCATGGGGGCAGGAACTGTGTTTACTGCTGTATTATTATGACCTCGAACCAGTGCCTGGAAAATAGCAGGTGCTTGGGAATTATTTAACTTGATAGGAGAAACCTATAAATAGGACAAATATTTTCATATTTTAGTGAGTTCAACACCAATTAGTCATGATAATTGTACTAGGAAAAAGGGTTCTTGTAAAAGCCTTAAAAATGAATTCGAGGAAATGATAAATTAATAAAAATACATAAAACCTCTGTCTCTTTATATATGTGTGTGTATATAGATGATAGATAGGCAGGTAGATAGATAGATAGATAGATAGATAGATAGATATAGACATAGATAAACTCTCCAGTCCTGTATCAAAATTTAATTTTCAGGAATCTTGTGCACTTTTCCTTTCCATAAGATATGACACTAGTTCATTACATTATTGACATTGTGTTTATTGGAACTAGTGAACAAGAAGTAGCAACTATTCTAGACTTCTTGCTAAGAAATTTCCATGTCAGAGAGTGGGGAGGGAAAAAACTCTGACTAAAATTAGGGGCCTTCCACCTCAGTTAAATTTCTAGGGATATAGTGGTATAGGGCATATCAAGATATCCCTTCCAAAGTAAAGAATAAGTTGTTGCATCTCTCTCTTCCTCTAACCAAGAAAATGCACAATGCCAAGTAGGCCTATGTGGATTTTGGAGGCACCATGTTCTTCATTTGGTTGTGTTACTCTGGCCTACTTACCTAGTGACCCACAATGCTGCTGGCTTTGAGTAGGGCTCAGAACATGAGAAGGTTCTGCAACAAGACCAGGTTGCTGTGTAAGCTCTCTGCCACTTGGGCCATATGATCTAGCAGATCCAGTGGATTTGAAGCAGTGGTGGTAGATAGGAATGCAGTGTGGAGTCTTTGGCCAGGCCCCTATAGGCGAATCTCAACACAGGGTTATGAGATTTGGAGCGAGGCCCTACCATCATCTACAAATAACAATCTACAGAGACCACTCTTCGCCTGCTACTAGTCCCTAGTAGAAACTGAACACTTGACAGTGGTTTACCATGTGATCTGAGCTGCCCATCCTGAACTGGGTGTTAGCTAATTGATCAAGCCATAAAGTTGGGCATGCACAGCAACACTTCATTACCAAATGGAAGTGGTATATCTGCGACTGCCTGGGCAGGCCCACAAGGCACAAGGTAATTACATGGACTGGCCCAAATGCTGACATTTCCCACTCTTGCTATACTACCTTCTCTCTCCCAGCCTGCACCTGTGGCCCTATGGGTACTTCTCTGCAATCAGTTGGCAGGGTAAGAGAAAACTTGAGTCTGGTTTATAGATGGCTGTTCAAAAAATGTGGGCACCATCTAAAAGTGGACAGTGCAGAGCTATAACCCTTTTCTTGGACATTTCTGAAGAACACTGGTAAAGGAAAATTATCCCAGCAGACAGAATTTAGGTATTTTACCTGGCTGTACACTTTGCTTTGAAGGAAAAGTTTCCAGATGTGCAATTATATACCAATTCATGGGCTGGGGCCTATGGTTTAGCTGGACAGTCAGGGACTTAGACAAAACATCATTGGGACGTTAGTAAGACAAAGAAATTTGGGGGAAGAAATATGTGGATAGCCCTCTCTAAATGGGCAAAAATATGAAGATATTTGTTTCTCAAATGAATGCTCATAAAAGATTAAACTCAGAAGAGGAGAATTTTAATAATGAATTAAACAGAATGACTCATTCTGTGAATACCAGTCAGCTTCTTTCTTCAGCCACTCCTCTCATCACCCAATGGACTCATGGACACTGTAGTCATGGTGGCCAGGGTAGCAGTTATACATGGGCCCAGCAACATGGACTCACAGTCACTGAGGTGGACCTGGCTACAGCCACTGCTGTGTTCAATCTTCCAGCATCAGAGACCAACACTGAGCTCCTGATGTGATGCCATCCTCCAGGGTGATCAGCCAGCTACTTGGTGGAAGGTTGATTACACTGGACCACTTCATAACGGCAGGGGCAGCATTTTGTACTTATGAGAGTGGACACTAACTCTGGATATGGAACTGCTTTCCCTGAATGCAATGCTTTTGCCAAAACTATCATCCGTGGACTTACATAACGTTTTGTCCACCACAATAATATCCCACACAGCATTGGTTCTGATCAAGGAACTCACTTTCTTACCAAGCAAAATAAGTGTGAAAATGCGCCCATGCTCATGGAATTCACTGGTCTTACTATGTTCTCCACCATCCTATAATAGCTTGCTTCATAGAATGATGGAATGGCTTTTTGAACACTCAACGATGGCATCAGCTAAGTGGCATTGCCTTGCAAGGCTGGGGCAAGGTTCTCTGGAAGGTTGTATGTGCTGTGAATAAGAGACCAATATATCATGGTGCTTCTCTAATAACCAGAATTAAGGGATGAAAATGAGAGTAGTACTATTACCCCTAGTTACCCACTAGCAAAATTTTTGCCCCCTATTCCCATGTCTTTGTGCTCTACTGGCCTAGAGCTTTTAGCTTCAGAGGGAAGAATTCTTCCACCAGGAAACACAACAGTGATTCCATTGAACTGGAAGTTAAGACTTTCACTCAGCCACTTTGGGCTCCTCTTGTCTCTTTGTCAAAGGGTAAAGAAGGGAGTTACAATGTTGGTTAGAGTGATTGATCTGTACTATCAGATCATGGGAATTCTTTGTTTCCATAACTGTGTGAGCCAGTTCCTATAATAGATCTGTCTACATAGATAGATAGACATAGCTAGATAGCTAGATATAGATACATCTATATCCTATTGCTTCTGTTCCTCTACAGAATCTTGACTAATACAATATCTCTCTATTTCCTTAACAATATAGCCACAATATTAAACAATGTAGCATGATGGTTAAGAGTAAAGCTTTTGAAGAAGCATACACCTGGGTTCAAATCACAGCTCAACCTCATACTAAATGCTTGCCTTTAGACAAATTACTTAAACCTATAGGCTACAGTTTCCTCCCTTTTAAAATAGGAAGGATATTAATACCCATAGCAAAGGGTTTTTATAAAGTAACACGTGTAGGAGATATTTAGTAGAATATCTTAAATTTGAAGAGTGCCCAATAAGCAAAA